AGGCAAGGTGGGTGAAGTGTCTTGCCCAAGGACACAACGACTGGGACGGCTGGACGGGGGATCGAACCAGCGACCTTCTGGTTCCAGGACGACTCCCCTAACCACTCCGCCACAGCCGCCCACTCAATAACAAAAGGAAAAGGCTGTACTGTAGGCAAGGTAAATTGTCTCGGGGTCCTTCAGAGGAGTTGCTTCCTGCAGGGAGCTGGTTGGGAGGCTCGGTCTCTTGAGGGCTGCAGGAAGCTGCAGAAGTTGGCAGGGTGGGGGTCTGCTCTCCACCTGGGTCAGGGGAATCTACGTCATTAAAGTCACTTTGCATCCGCACTTCCAGGAGCTGAAAGGAAGACAGGAAGACACATTCTTACCATTTAGTGAAACACACTGAAGCATTAGATGTAAAAGCATGCTGTCTGCTGTTATCTGATTTTTAGACTTAGATCAGTTTATGTAAAAATAACAGCGTTGTGGCTGTTATGCTCTCTCATGCAGTACTGGCAGATGTAACACTCAGAGTAAAGTGTTCAGTGTACTCCAAAAAGATGTGATATGATAAATGTCTTGTGGATATTTATTTTCAGGTGATAATAGCAGAATTGTAGGAGGAAGATCTGGTATTTCTGTTTTAAGTAGTATTTTGTAAATTTGTCACAAAGACACCACCACCACTGGATGGTGCAGGAATGTGTCCCTACAAGTTCACTCCCTCCTGTTCATCACAGCTATGGAGAGCTGAATGTGTCTCCTGTGAGCACAAATTGTTCAACCTCCTTCCACGAGTTGTTTTACTATCATTGTTTTGCTTATGGTTTTTACTAAAACAGTTGTAACATCGGCTGTATTTTCACACAGTCGCAACCAGAAGCCTCACATCAGATTATCTCACTGCAGCTACTTGACAAAAACAAACACGCCCACAAAGTTCTGACCAATCATCCAACGTTCGGCCCGTAATACTGTGAGACTGGGGGCACAAGACGGAGTTGTCAGCAGGTGGTTGTAGTAGTATCACAGTATTTTCCTTACACACTCACACCAGCGAGGTGTGAGAATGGGCCTTCTCATGGACTAATTAGTTCAGGTTGTCGTATTTTCATGATGAAAATTACATCACCGTGCTCTCAGCGTAGACTTTCCTGCCCCTTTTGTCACACCCCGCCAGCAGAAATTTGTACCCCACTTCAATTAAGACGTTTATGTAGGGCTGGGCGGTATGACCTCAAATTCATATCACAGTATAAACTGAACCCCTTCATGTTAACGGTATATATCGCGATAGAAAATTATCATAAAAAGTAAAGATAATGTAATTTTTTAGAGCATTTATTTTGCAGAGAACTGTAATCTTGATCAAACCCAGCATTTTTGCTTTAATATCGGCCTGCCAAACAATGGGCTTCTGCCTGCTGAACTTATCAGCTGCTGCTCTGCTGCGCGCTCATCTTCTTCAGAGCAGAAGCAGACTTTACATTAGCAAGATGGATTTATGACTGAACGAATGTCCATGTCTTTTTTTTTAAAATCATCTCTGTGAGTAACAGTACTTTAAAAAACAAGTTTTCTCTCCAACAATTGGGTGTGGAAAAACTACAGTTGTTAAAGCTTCGCTCTGCGTGACGTGCAGCGAGAGGAGAGGAGAGGGAGGAAGAGATACACGACGTAAATTTTCTACAGCAGGAGGGGGATATTTTGAGGATTTATCCTCTCTATACATGTTTTAAAACACTAGAACTTCATTATATTTCAAACTCCTCCTGTTCAGTTGTCTCTGCACTCACAGCCCTGTTGACACAGGTCTGATGATGTAATGATGATATGACGGTAGAGGGTAAATTTCTACCGTAGGCCAACTTCATAACGTTTCTACCATATTCTGCATTTACTGTGCAGCCCTACGTTTGTGTGATTGATCAGAAGTTTGTGGGCATGTTTGTTTACGCTGAAAGCGCTTAGACTCTGCACTTTGCTTCAACCACTCGTATTCAGAATGTGACTGTTGTAACTACAAGCAGACAATTATAAAGATCATCAAACGGCCAAAAAGTGGAGATAAATAAAAAGGAGTTTTGTATGGATGAGTCCATCGGTAGATAAATATAGAGATTTAACCGGGATGGATTTGTGAGAAAAATAATGGCGGATTGGCGTTTTTTTTTTTTTTTTTTTAATTTTTATATGGACTCCAGCAGGAAGGAAGCCCGTGCAGTGACTTGTACCGCAGTGGGAGGGGTTTCCCAAGAGCTTGGAGTACATTTCAGGAACCAATAAAGGTATGTGCGAAAATGAATGCCAAACAAACACGAGACTGCGTGTCAGCTGTTCAGCTTTGGTTGGAGAATGTGGAGGCTTTAAATCAGGCTTTAACGTCAGGAATGACTCAGTCTAGGATGAAAATTGCAGGGCAGTTAATTCCTTTTGGACTTTAGTATTGTGTCTGGATGCGTGCCAGATGTTTAGCAATATGTTCTTAATGTTTTCTATAGTTTTGTTGTTTTTGGGAAAAAAAATAGCTGTATGCTGTTTAGGGCTTCTTAATCTTTTTGACCTCGTGGTCCAATTTGTTGAACATAAAGTGACATGAGGCCCAGTCAGACATTACCAATATATGGATCAAAAT